GGGGGGGGGGGGGGGGGGGGGGGGGGGGGGGGGGAGGGGAGAGGAGAGGAGAGAGGAGAGGAGTGGGAATAGAATAGAATAGAATAGAAGAGAATAATATACAGAAAGAAGAGAAAAGAGACGAGAAAGAAAAGAGAAAAGAGAGTAGAATAGAATGGAATGGAATGGAATAATATATAGAATGGAAGAAGAGAAGAGAAGAGAAGAGAAGAGAAAATAGAATAGAATAGAATAGAATAATATAGAATGGAAGAAGAGAAGAGAAGAGAGAAGAGAAGAGAAAATAGAATAGAATAGAATAGAATAATATATAGAATGAGAGAAGAAAAGAGAAGAGAAAAGAGAAGAGAAAGAAAAAAGTAGAATAGAATAGAATGGAATGGAATGGAATAATATATAGAATGGAAGAAGAGAAGAGAAAGAGAAGAGAAGAAAAGAGAAAATAGAATAGAATAGAATAATATATAGAATGAGAAGAGAAGAGAAGAGAAAGAGAAGAGAAAATAGAATAGAATAGAATAATATATAGAATGAGAGAAGAGAAAAGAGAAGAGAAAGAAAAAAGAGAATAGAATAGAATAGAATAGAATAGAATAGAATAGAATAGAATAGAATAGAATCAGAAAGTGGAAGGGACCTTGGAGGTCTTCTAGTCCAGCCCCCTGCTCAAGCAGGAGATCCTATACCATTTCAGATAAGTGACTGTCTAGTCTCTTTTTAAAAACCTCCAGTGATGGAGCATTCACAACCTCTAGTAGCAAGCTGTTCCACTGGTTAATTGTCTTCACTGTTAGGAAGTTTCTCCTGAATTCCAGGTTGATTCTCTCTTTGGTTAGTTTCCATCTACTGTTTCTTGTCTTGCTTTCTGGTGCTTTGGAGAATCATTTGACCCACTCCTCTTCTTTGTGGCAGCCCCTCAAATACTGGAAGGCTGCTATTCTAATAGCAAATCCTTCATAAAAGTTATTGCATTACATTCTTGATTAAATTATCTTTCCATTGATATATCATTTTATGGTACTACCCCCCCCTAAAAAAAAGTGGTGTTCTTAGCTAGTTTTAGAAAATACACTTTTCCCAAAAGGTTTCCACACTTTTGGCCACTAACTGTAGAAGGGCACTGAAAATAATGACTTAGGATCATTTTTCACGCTTATGACCGCTTCAGTGTCCTTATGGACACCTGATCCAAATTCAGATGCTGGGCAACTGGCTCACATTTATGACAGTCGCCCTGTCCCAGGGTCACGCGATTTTCCTTTTGCAACCTTTCTGACAAGCCAAGGGGGAAGCCAGATTCATTTTGCGACCTTTCTTGCCACCGTTGTTAAGCGAAGCGTTCCGGTTTGTTAGGTTAGTAACACAACCGTGTGACTAACCTAACAAACCGCAACGTTTCGCTTAACAGCGGTGCCAAGAAAGGTCGCAAAATGGGGCAAAACTCACTTAGCAACGGAAATTTTGGGCTCCACTGTGGTAGTAAGTCGAGGACTGCACGTATTCCCCACCCCGCTGCTCCAGGACCCCTTAAAAGCCCCTCCACACACATCCCAAGTGGCCCTTTGTTTCCCAGGGTGCTTCTTACGTGAGGAAACAGACCCCAAAGGGGTCCCGTTGTGGCCCTCAGGCGATGGCCGCCGCATCTCGGAGAGGCTACTGCAGCGCATTCGGACATCGGCCTCCCGCCTCTTCTCTTCCTGCGCCTGGAAGTAGGGTTAAGAAGTAGGGTGGAGAATAAACAATGTTGGATTGACTGAATTATCTACAGCAGCAGTTTAAGAAACACCCAATTTTTGCATGCGGAATAAACCATAATTTTAAGACCGATCAATCACAATAGACCTGGAAGGGACCTTGGAGGTCTTCTAGTCCAGCCCCCTGCTCAAGCAGGAAACCCTATACAATTTGGGACAAGTGGCTGTCCTTAAAAGCCTCCACCGATGGAGCATCCACAATTTCTGGTGGCAAGTTGTTCCACTGGTTAATTGTCCTCACTGTTAGAAAATTTCTCCTTAATTCCAGGTTGAATCTCTCTTGGATTAGTTTCCATCCATTGTTTCTTGTCTTGCCTTCTGGTGCTTTGGAGAATAATTTGACCCCCTTCCTCTTCTTTGGGGCAGCCCCTTAAATACTGGAATCCTGCTATCATGTCACCCCCTAATTCTTCTTTTCTCTAGACTGGCCATACCTCAATCCTGCAACCGTTCTTCGTATGTTTTGGTCTCCAGCCCTTTAATAATCTTAGTCGCTCTTCTTTGCACTTTTTTTTCCCAAACTCTCAACAACTTTTTGTAACGTGGGGACCAAAACTGGATGCAGTATTCCAGGCAGTGGTGAAATCCTCCGTGGGTTGCCACCAGTGGCAAACACATGTGTGCATGCAGTGTGCACCAAATGCACGCTGTGCACGGAAAAAGGAGCCGTTTGAAGGTAAGTAAAACAGCGAGGGGGGAAACAGCTGTGCCGCGCGATTTAGGAATATAAATCCCGCGGCACAGCTGATCGTCGGAAAGCTTTTTTTAAAATACTGAATCGGTAGTTTTTATTACTACGTAGCATTTCACCCCCGATTCCAGATGTGGCCTTACCAAGGTTTTATAAAGCAGTACTAATACTTCGGGTGATTTTGATTCGGTGCCTAACGGGGCGTAGATCGTAATGGGGCAGCATTTCCTTTTGCTGGGGCTGCAAAGCTGAAGAATTGCAGGCTGGGTTTGCCTCTTTCCAACCAAACCATCATTTGGCCCATCGTGGGTTTGGCTGTCAATCATGGTCCTAGACCAGCTGTTCTGAAATATTTTGGACTTGGCGGGGGGCTCTTTGCATTCTTTAAAACGATGGGAGGATCCCCAAAAGCGTTGGTTCGTTTTATCTATTGATTAGAAATAGAAACTGAGATGTTTTAAAAATGTTTATCTGACTTTGGGGGTGCCCAGGAGCCCCCAAACCACACTTTGAAGAGCACCGGCCTAGGCGATTATAATATAATATATTTATAATAAACTGTGGCTTGTGTATTACAGCTATTGGTTTCGCCTCTGGCATTCAGTCAGGAGGGCACAAAACATGATTTATGTTTTTTGTGGCGCCCCTAGATTTCCCATAATGTGGGGGCCAAACCTTGCAAGCTCTTTGCTTCCATGGGTGGGGCTGTTTTAACAGGAAAATGGCACCTACAGTTGCACAGCTGCACTTATTCTGGTTTCCCACACACCAACCATCACAGTCAAACGTGAGCTGACTCGTGTTGTGGCTTGGCGCAACACACCCTGACTGAACCACTGGATCAGCTGCCTGATCCGACGGGGAGGGAGGCTGGTGAGAGATTGGAAGAAGGGAGAAATCAGCCGTGTCATGCCCCCGTCGGAGACTGAATCTGCGGAGGCTGACAGAGATTGAGGGGGCAGCTTCGTTGGCTTGGGAGGAAAATGGGGAGGAGCAGGGGCAGTCAGGCCAGGGCCTTTCAGGATCGGGACGGCTTGTAGGCAGGGAGGAATAGGGGCAGGATGAAAATGAGAGACAGAGCTCAGGTGAGGAGCAAGGACCATCCCCTCCTGATCCTCGAGCACGGAGAGTGGAGAGAAGACAGGAACAGCGTAGACTAACCCGGGTACTCAGGGGGAGAGCGCCCCCAGTGGTGAAATCTAAAATTTGTTGCTACCGGTTCTGTGGGCGTGCCTTGGTGGTGGTGGGGTAATGTGACTGGGTGGGCGTGGCCAATTAAAAAAAAGTTTTTTAAAACCATTTTTTCTACAACCTCTTCTAAAACCCTTTTTAAAAAGCCTCTGCCGATCAGGCAACTCAGCTTGGATCGTCAGAGGCATTTAAAAGAAAAAAGGGTTTTTTTTCTTTTAAAAGCCTTTGACGATCCCAGCTGAGCCGCACGATCATCAGAGGCTTTTTTTTTTTTTTTTCTTTTAAAAGCATTTTTTCTACAACCTCTTCGGCCAAAAAAAATGCTTTTAAAAGTAAAAAAATAAAATAAAATGCTCAGCTGGGCATGGGGGGGGGCAGGGATTTTTGCTACCGGTTCTCCGAACCACCCACCTCCATCGCTACCGGATCAGGTGATCCGGTCCGAACAGGGAGCATTTCACTCCAAGCGCCCCACTCCTCTTCACAAGGCACACCTGGGGACTGAGACTTAAGGAGACACTGTGGGGAGGGGCATTCATTGGGAAGAAACACTGAATTCCTGGAGTGTTGAGTGCCGACGTTTGAACTTTCCTGGATTGCTTGCATTCTTTCTGGATTTCTTGCTTTGCAGCCGCGATGCTCACAGCATTGGGATGGACTATTTGCAGCCAGAGGCTGCTTGAGGTTTGTGTGTGTGTCATCACTTTGCTCTGGGACTTGCCAGAAACGTGGGAGCATTTGGGGAAATTTGGAGCAATAAAGGGGCGGTTTGAACTGCCAGCTGCCTGTGTTACACCTTTGTGCCTTGTCATCACACTTGTGGTCCCCAACCTTTCCAGCTTTGGGGACCAACCATGGATGGAGAGGATATGGTTCCGTGTGAGCGGCAGGTGAAAATGTGCACCTGCCCTTGCATGGACCGCTTCCAAATGGGCCACAGCCCAGTACTGGCCCATGGGTTGGGGATCCCTGATGCAAAGGGTAGCAGAACCGCTTTTACTCACCAAGTGTAGATCCTGTAGTTGATGCTGCTTTTCGCTCGGTCCGACGTGGACCAGGTGATTGAAGTTACTCGGGGAAGAGATGAGCCTGGCGCGGAGACTGGGGTTATGCATCATCTCTCTGTGAGGGACAGAGGAGGGGCAGCGCCTAGCACGGGGCACCCTGCTCAGAGGTGCCAGCCAGCTGGCAGCAGATCAAAGCCACACAACTCCCTGAGATACTTCCTGGCTGGGTTCACACAACCGTCTTAACTTGCTCCTTCCATCTATCTTCCGGCACAACTTATGACGGCGCTCAGGATTAGAATTTCCGTTGGTAAGCGATGCAGAATTATTTCTTTATTTAGCATACCGGTAGTCCTCAATTTAGGACAACTAAATCCCAAAATGTCTGCTGACGAACGAGACGGTTAAGTGAATTTGGTCCCATTTTACGACCTTCCTCGTCGCAATTGTTAAGTGAAGCACCGCTATTGTGAAGTTGGTAACACGGTTATGAAGTGAATCTGGTTTCCCCATTGACTTTGCTTGTCAGAAGGTCAGAAAAGGGGATCAAGTAACAACCCCCCCCCCCCCGGGACACTGATACTGTCACAAGTACATGCCAGTTGCCAAGCATCTGAATTTTTTGGTCACGTGACCATGGGGATGTTGCAACGGCCGTTAAGTGTGGAAAAATGGTCATAAGCAGGGGTGGGCTTCAAATTTTTTTTTGCAAGGGATTCTCTGCCTGGTTGCTGGGTGGGCGTGGCCATGGTGGGTGTGGCCTAGTCGGCCTTCTGCATCATGGTGGTGGTGGGGGGGGGGGGGGCATTTTTGCCCTCCCCAGGCTCCGGGAGGGTTTCTTCGAGCCTCCGGGAGGGCAAAAATGGCCTCCCCAGGCTCCTGAGGCCTGTTTTTGGCCTTCCCAAAATTCTGGTAGGCCTGTTTTTCACCCTCCCCGAGCCTCCGCACGCGCCCTGCACTTCCCTGCATTTAAAAGGGGCCGTGTGGGGACTCCTGGGAGGGGAGGGGCAGGGTGGGAGGGGCCAGCCAGGAGTGGGATTTGGGGGTTCTCCGAGCTGCACAGAATCTTAGCTAGAGGTTCTCCCGAACCCCCAGCAGCCCATCCCTGGTCATAAGTCCCTTTTTTCAGTGCCATTATAACTGAACAGTAAATAATCTCTTGTTAAGTCGAGGACTACCTGTGAAGCAATATTTGTGGTAAGCTAGAGAGTCGCCTTGTGGTGAGATGGGTGGCGAACAAATTTAATAAATAATAAATAAGAATAAAGATATCCAGCCATTTGGATTTGCATAATATGCTGAGCCACATCAAAATTAACCGGGATTTCAATTAACCAAAAGTGGAAACTTTTCGCTAATTGAGGTAAAATGAGAACGGCACCGGATTTTGCGACAGCTTGTGTAACTTCTGAATAGCAGCAGTCAGAAAATCCCCGGGCTGCCCCTCTCTGATCAGCCTCACCTCCTCTGATGTTGCCGCTCCTCCTCGGAGATCCGGAAAGAGAAGCACCGCTTGTGTCTAGTCCTCATGAGGTACCGCCGGCTGTTATCAGTGGTCTGGGGGATTTCGAACTCATCCTGGTCTGGAGAAGGACAGGAAATTCAGGCTCCTCACATCAAATTTAGATTTGCACAGTGCACTGATGTAAGCGAGACTGGTTTAATTAAGAGAATAACACAATTGGAAGGGACCTTGTAGGTCATCTAGTCCAACCCCCCAGCCAAGCAGGAGACCCTACACCATTTCTGACCAATGGCAGCCCAGTCTCTTCTTGAAAGCCTCCAATGATGAAGCTCCCACAACATCTGAAGGCAACTTCTGTTCCATGGGTTCATTGTTCTCACTGTCAGAAAATTCCTCCTTATTTTCAGGTTGAATCTCTCCTTGATTAGTTTCCATCCATTCTTCCTTGTCTGGCCTTCGGGTGCCTTGGAGAATAGCTTGGCCCCCTTCCTCCTCTCTGCAAAAGCCCCTCAAATACCGGAAGATGCTCTCCTGTCTCCCCTGGGCCTTCTCTTCCCTAGACTAGCCAAGCCCAGTTCCTGCAATCGTTCTTCGTATGTTTTAGTCCCCAAATCCTCTTGGTTGCTCTTTTCTGCACTTTTTCTAGTCTCAACATCTTTCTTTCTTTCTTTCTTTCTTTCTTTCTTTCTTTCTTTCTTTCTTTCTCTCTCTCTTTTCTTTCTCTTTCTTCCTTCCTTTCTTTCTCCTTTCTCTTTTTCTCCTCCACTCTAACCTTTACCTATCTCTCCTTCCTCCCTCCCTCCCTCTTTGATTTGCTAAGCCAGCAACTTCTGTTCCATTGGTTGATTGTTCTCACTGTTAGGAAATGTCTCCTTATTTCTAGGTTGTCCTTGATCAATTTCCATCCATTTTATTCCTTGTCTGGCCTTCAGGTGCTTTGGAGAATAGCTGGACCCCCTTCCTCCTCTCTGTGGCAGCCCCTCAAAATACTGGAAGATGCTCTCCTGTCTCCCCTGGTCCTTCTCTTCCCTAGACCCAATTCCTGCAACCGTTCATCGTATGTTTGAGCCTCCAATCCCCTCATCATCCTGGTTGCTCTTCTCTGCACTTTTTCTTAGAGTCTCCACATCTTTTTTATAGTGTGGTGACCAAAACTGGATGCAGGACTCTAGGTGTGGCCTTACTAAGGCTTTATAGAGTGGGATTAGGATCTCTTGGCTAGTTGGTTAGTCTCAGATGCAGCGCAATCTTAATAAACCTGTGCTTTATTGCAATTTTAATGTGAATTTTAAATTTATAAATACAGGTGGTCCTTGACTTCTGATCACAGTTGAGCCCCAAAATTTCTGCTGCTAAGTGAGACATTGTTTAAGTGAGTTTTGCCCCATTTTAGGACCTTTCTTGTCGTAGTTGTTAAGCGAATCAGTGCAGTTGATAATTTAGACACCCGGTTGTTAAGTGAATCTGGCATCTCTGTTGACTTTGCTTGCCAGAAGGTCGCAAAAGGGAATCACATGAACTTGAGACACAGCAACCGTCATAAATATGAATCACTTGCCAAGCATCTGAATTTTGATCACATGACCCTGGGGATGCTGCAATGGCCATAAGTGTGAAAAACGGTCATAAGTCAACTTTTTCAGTGCCCTTGTAACTTTGAACTGTCACCGAATGAAGTGTTGTAAGTCGAGAACTATCTGTATATATCAGTGGTGAAATCCAAATTTTTTTACTACTGCTTCTGTGGGTGTGGCAGGGGAAGGATACTGCAAAATCTCCATTCCCTCCCCACTTCTGGGGGAAGGATACTGCAAAATCTCCATTCCCACCCCACTCCAGGGGAAGGATACTGCAAAATCTCCATTCCCACCCAACTCCAGGGGAAGGATATTGCAAAATCTCCATTCCCACCCCACTCCCAGGGAAGGATACTGTAAAAATCACCACTCCTAGGGGAAGGATACTGCAAAATCTCCATTTCCGCCCCACTCTGGGGCCAGCCAGAGGTGGCATTTGCTGGTTCTCCGAACTACTCACAATTTCCGTTACCGGTTCTCCAGAACCTGTCACAACCTGCTGGATTTCACCTCTGAGATATATATATATATATATATTCCGAGGTGGGTATGTATGTATGTATGTATGTATGTATGTATATAAAAAGCAAATTTAATAAATAAATAAATAAATCTGGGATCCACAAAATAATTGTATTTAGACCCAGGTCAGATTATTGTGTGCGAATACAGCTCCTATTCCCTCTGCAAAGTCCTGGGTCTCACGCTTTTACCTGCTTGGCATCCCCTCCTTACCTGCGCCTTTGTTCCTGAGGTAGGTCAGCCGGACTTTTTCGCTGCCAAAGGTGCACAACGAGCCTTCGGGATTCAGTGCACGCACCTGAATGAAGGAGAACGGGATGAGCCACGGTGGTCCAGTGGTTAGAGTGCAGTACGGCAAGCTACTTCTGCTGACTGCCTGCAATTTGGCAGATCGAATCTCACCAGGCTCAAGGTTGACTCAGCCTTCTGTCCTTCTGAGGTTGGTAAAATGAGGACCCAGATTGTTGGGGGCAAGAGGCTGACTCTGTAAACCGCTTAAAGAGAGCTGGAAAGCACTGTGAAGCGGTATATAAGTCTTAAGTGCTATTGCTATGCTATGCTATTCTTGCTGGAGTAGCTCAGAAGGCAGATTGCAGTATCGACTCTGCCCCACAGCCTAGAGTTCAATCCTGACCGGCTGAAGGTTGACTCAACCTTCCATCCTTCTGAGGTTGGTAAAATGAAGACCCAGATTTTTTGCCGGGGGGGGGTGGGGGCAATAGGCTGACTCTGTAAACCGTTTCGAGAGGACTGTGAAGCAGAATATGAGTCTAAGTGCTATTGCTATTCCTTCCTTCCTTCCTCCCAATTCATCTCTCATTCATGTTTTCTTCTACCTAATTCCTTCCTTCCTTCCTTCCTTCCTTCCTTCCTTCCTTCCTTCCTTCCTTCCTTCCTTCCTTCCTTCCTTCCTTCCTTCCTGTTAGAATGCAGCATTGCAGGCTATCTCTGCCTACTGCCAGCAGTTCGATCCTGATCGACTCAAGGTCGACTCAGCCTTCCATCCTACCGAGGTGGTTAAAATGAGGACCCAGATTGTTGGGGGCAAGAGGCTGACTCTGTAAACTGCTTAGAGAGGGCTGTAAAAGCACCATGAAGCGCTATATAAGTCTAAGAGCTATTGCTATTGCTCTCAATGGCTGAATCCTAAACCCACAATGAGCAAACTGCTCTTCTATTATACCTTCAACATCAAGATAGACACAGGACTACACAAACACACATGCACACTAACACCACACACACACAAACATCCCCCCCCTCCCACGGAGGACAACATCCTTTCCTATCGCAAGCAAGCCAACCCCTCCTTCCTCTACAGCAGCCCAAAGAGAAAATATTTGGGGGTGTATCGCTTGCCGGCACATCCTTCGAGACACCCCACCTGTTCCCAGGTACACACCGAGTCCCCTGGCCTTAGAAGAAGCAGGACTGGGTACGACAACAGGTTGTATGTACCCTGTTGGCACCATCTTCACTTCACTTCCTTGAGTTACAACCATTCTTTCACTGACAGTTGGAAGATACAACAGTGGGGGACTTATGACCGTTTTTCACATTTAACGACCGTTGCAGCATCCCCAGGGTCTCGGGTTCAAAATTCAGACGCCCGGCAACTGACTCATACAGTATTTATGACAGTTGCAAAATCCCAGGGTCACGTGATCCTCTTTTGCGACCTTCTGACAAGCAAAGTCAGCGGGGAAGCCAGACTCATTTAACGACTGTGTTACTAACCTAGCAGCTGCAGTGATTCTCTTTTAACAACTAGGAAGAAAAGTCGTCAAACAAGGCACAACTCACTTAACAAACTGTCTCGCTTAGCCACAGAAAGTTGTCAGAAGGTCGTAAAAAGGGGAATCACGTGATAACCCCTCCCCCCTTCCCCCCCGGGACGCTGCGACTGTTATAAATATGAGCCCATTGCCAAGTGGCTGAATTTTGATCACGGGGATGCTGCAAAGGTCGTAAGTGTGAAAAACGGCCATAAGTCCCTTTCTTCAATGCTGTCGTAACTTCGAGCAGTCACTAAAACAAAGGCTTGTACGTCGAAGACTACCGTACTGCTAAACTCATAGCTTAAAGGCCTGTTGTAGTCCGCCAGCAGCCTGCGGAGCTGGCAGCGGAGTCGGACAGCGAGGAGGCTGAGGAAGAACATGGCCCAGTCCTGGAGGCTGGAGAAGGCCCGGATGAGGGCTCTGCGTCGGAGGCAGAGATGGGGCCAGGGCCATCGGGGAGTGAAGTGCGGACTCCAGAGCCTCCAGAGGCTGACAGTAGAGAGGCAGAGGAACAGGGGGAGCCTGTTCCTAGTGGACGTATGAGAAGAGCTGCCAGAAGGTAAGAGCAGCTCAAGCAAAGAGGACGACTTGGGAGTAAGGCCAGGAGATGATTAGCCCCTCCCATAAGGTGAGGGCCTTGGTGGTGCAGCAGACTAAGTGCTATTAAGTGGTAGCACTTAGCTGCCAGCTGCCTGCAATTAGTGCGAGTTCAAATCTCACCAGGTTCAAGGTTGACTCAGCCTTCCATCCTTTCAAGGTAGGTAAATTGAGGACCCTGATTGTTATTTATTAAATTTATTATTTATTAAATTTATATGCCGCCCCTCTCCGGAGACTCAGGACGGATTGTGGGGATAATCAGCCAGCTTTGTATAGAACAACACCGCTTAGGGGGGGCCAAAAGCCCTAATAAGCAGGTATATACATAAAAGTATGCAGGCTATTGCTATAATGCATTGTAAGCCGCCCTGAGTCTACGGAGAAGGGCGGCATATAAATTGAATAAATAAATAAATAAATAAATAAATAAATAAATAAATAAGTAAGTAAGTAAAGCAAGTAAGTAAGTAAAGTAAGTAAGTAAAAGTAAGTAAGTAAGTAAAGTAAGTAAATAAGTAAGTAAAGTAAGTAAGTAAAGTAAGTAAGTAAGTAAATAAGTAAGTAAGTAAGTAAAGTAAGTAAGTAAGTAAAGTAAGTAAGTAAGTAAAGTAAGTAAGTAAATAAGTAAGTAAGTAAGTAAAGTAAGTAGTAAGTAAAGTAAGTAAGTAAGTAAATAAGTAAGTAAAGTAAGTAAGTAAAGTAAGTAAAGTAAGTAAGTAAGTAAAGTAAGTAAGTAAAGTAAGTAAGTAAGTAAGTAAATAAGTAAGTAAAGTAAGTAAGTAAAGTAAGTAAAGTAAGTAAAGTAAGTAAGTAAGTAAATAAGTAAGTAAAGTAAGTAAGTAAAGTAAGTAAGTAAAGTAAGTAAGTAAGTAAAGTAAATAAGTAAGTAAAGTAAGTAAATAAGTAAGTAAAGTAAGTAAGTAAAGTAAGTAAGTAAGTAAAGTAAGTAAGTAAGTAAGTAAAGTAAATAAGTAAGTAAGTAAGTAATAAGTAAGTAAATAAGTAAGTAAATAAGTAAGTAAAGTAAGTAAGTAAAGTAAGTAAAGTAAGTAAGTAAATAAGTAAGTAAAGTAAGTAAGTAAAGTAAGTAAGTAAGTAAAGTAAGTAAGTAAGTAAAGTAAGTAAGTAAGTAAGTAAAGTAAGTAAGTAAGTAAGTAAATAAGTAAGTAAAGTAAGTAAGTAAAGTAAGTAAAGTAAGTAAGTAAAGTAAGTAAGTAAGTAAAGTAAGTAAGTAAATAAGTAAGTAAAGTAAGTAAGTAAAACAAGTAAGTAAGTAAGTAAAGTAAGTAAAGTAGTAAGTAAGTAAGTAAGTAAGTAAAGTAAGTAAGTAAAACAAGTAAGTAAGTAAGTAAAGTAAGTAAGTAAGTAAGTAAGTAAGTAAATAAATAAGTAAAGTGAGTAAGTAAATAAGTAAGTAAGTAAAGTAAGTAAAGTAAGTAAGTAAGTAGGTAAAGTAAAAGTAAGTAAGTAAGTAAGTAAAGTAAGTAAGTAAATAAGTAAGTAAAGTAAGTAAGTAAGTAAAACAAGTAAGTAAGTAAGTAAGTAAGTAAGGCTTAAAAGACCAGCAACGGCTTTTGGGCTCTTTGCCGGAAAACAACTGTTGAGAGATTTGCTTCTTGTTTGGCTGTAGTTATTTCTTCTGTTCCTGAACTGTTGCCAAGAGAAGCCTTTGGCAGTTCGCCCAATTATCCCAAGGTCAGAGATAAACTGGAGAATGGTGTTTTGAGGACTTTGCTTTCATTTCACTTGGAATACACTGAGAACGAGTTAATTCTCAGCCGTTTTAAATAAAATCTGTTTGTTTTTTGGAACTGTTTTGCACTTAATATCAACTATGTGGGCCTGGGTCACAACACTACCCATCCTATCAAACTATTTTACGTCCAGGAAGGGAGGCCTTTCGGGTGGGCAGCAGCCTCACACACCGCGGCGTCCATTTTGTGAAAGTGCTCACGGCCGACTGCCAAGCCTGCATCCTAATCGCTGATCCGGCACTTTCCTTTAGTAAAGTTTTAAGATTTTTTTTGGGTGGGGGGGCGTGAGGGATAGAAAGCATGGTGGGCACCTTTTTCAAACAGATGGTCTGAATCCACTCGGCCCTTCGGACATCAAAGATATCTAGGCTGTTTTCGCTGAATACTGACAAATAAGGAGCATTGTAGCCTGAAACGGAAAAGAAGTTAAATGTCAGTTGCGCCAAGTCTACCCCTTATCCCCACAGCTACCTACATCCTCCCGCAACCCTGCTGATTACGCTGCAGTTGGCTTAATGCTGGTTTGCCAAATAAGCCAGGATGGGCTGGGCTTTGTAGCCGAGGGGGCCACGCCGCCTGCATTCATGGACGTCAAATTTTGAATTACAAATATTCTTACTTGGAACCTTGACAGAGCCCAGTGGCACGCACAGGTCCCACCAGAAGGGACGGACCCAGGGGTGAAATCTAAAATTTGTTACTACCGGTTCTGTGGGTGTGGCTTGGTGGAGGGTAATGTGACTGCGTGGGCGTGGCCAACTTTTTTTTTTTTAACTTTTAAAAGCATTTTTTCTACAACCTTAAGAGTTTGCAGAAAAAAAATGCTTTTAGAAGCCTCTGACGATCAGGCAACTCAGCTGGGATCGCCAGAGGCTTTTGTAGGCATTTTTTTTCCTACAACCTCTTTGGCTGAAGAGGTTGCAGAAAAAAATGCTTTGAAAAGCCTCTGACGATCCCAGCTGAGCTACGCGATCATCAGAGGCTTTTTTTTTTTTTTACTTTTAAAAGCATTTTTTCCGGCGGAAGAGGTTGTAGAAAAAATGCTTTTAAAAGTAAAAAAAAAACAGCCTCTGATGATCGCGCGGCTCAGCTGGGCATGGGGGGGGGCCCACAGGGATTTTTGCTACCGCTTCTCCGAACCACCCGCCGCCATCGCTACCGGATCGCGCGATCCGGTCTGAACCGGGAGCATTTCACCCCTGGAGGGACCACAACACCCATCATCCCCAGCCAAAGCCCCCACCACCACTACCAGCACCCTCTTCCAAATGTGTGACCCACTCACAGCAGCTGAGAGGAGCGGCCGGCCACATCAGCTCCTGGGCACGGCTGCGGTGGCCGTGCATGTCCACGTAGAGTCCAAAACTGCTGAAGCACAAGATGAATTCGCTCAGGCTGACCTCCACGGCTTTTAACGCTTCCATCTGGGCCACGGTGGTTGCCCGGACATTGTCCGCGTGGGGCAGACTGACCGGGGACCCTTCGTTGAGCAGAGGGTAGAGGGAGAAGCCGGACGGATAGCCCACGCAGAGCCGGTCCCCCAAAACATCCAGGCACTGGACGTATCCCGGCGCTTGGATCTCCTTGATACGACGGTGGGGCGGGTGCGTGGCGGTCAGCTGGAAGCACAGGACCTGGCGTTTGCAGGCCACGCAGAGCACGGGGGTCGTGCCACGGCAGATCAGCCCCACGGCCACCGCCTGGCAGCCTTTGGCCTCCACCACCTTGGTTCCTGGCGCTTCGGGAGTCTCCAGCTCCGCCCACGAGAAGATGCGGAGTCCGTGGTTCTTGCCGCAGAGCACGGAGAGCAGCTGAACTTCAGGGGAAACCAGCAGCAGTTGCACCCGCCGGCAGTCGCCCACCCGCAGCACATCTGGAGGGGAGACAAGGGGTCAAGGCTCGTGGTCAGGGGTTGGCAGCTCCGGCCACAACAGCGGAAAATCAGGAGCAGGAAAATTGTGATGTCAACATTAGGAAGAAATACAGCTAGTCCTTGACCTACCATTGTTCATTCAGTGACCGAAATTACAACGGGACTGTAAAAAGAGACTGAGGACCGTTGTTCACACTTAGGACCGTTGCAGCTTCCCCACGGTCACGTGATCAAAATTTGGCCGCTTGGCATCTGATATTTATCCCCCCAACCCAAGCAGGAGACCCTGCACCACTTCTGACAGATGGCAGCCCAGTCTCTTCTTGAAAGCCTCCAAAGATGAAGCTCCCACAACTTCTGAAGGCAACTTCTGTTCCATGGGTTGATTGCTCTCACTGTCAGAAAATTCCTCCTTATTTCCAGGTTGAATCTCTCCTTGGTCAGTTTCCATCCATTCTTCCTTCTCTGGCCTTTGGGTGCCTTGGAGAATAGCTTGACCCCCTTCCTCCTCTCTGGGGCAGCCCCTCAAATATTGGAAGATGCTCTCCTGTCTCCCCTGGTCCTTCTCTTCACTAGACTAGCCATGCCGAGTATTTAACAGATTCAGAGAGTTGGAAGGGACCTTGGAGGTCATCTAGTCCAACCCCCCGGCCAAGCAGAAGACCCTACACTATTTCTGACAGAGGGCAGTCCAGTCTCTTCTTGAAAGCCTCCAGAGGTGAAGCTCCCACAACTTCTGAAGGCAAGTTCTGTTCCATGGGTTGATTGTCCTCACGGTCAGGAAATTTCTCCTCATTTCTAGGTTGAATCTCTCCTTGTTCTTTTTCCATCCATTCTTCCTTCTCTGGCCTTCAGGTGCTTTGGAAAACAGCTTGACCCCCTTCCTCCTCTCTGTGGCAGCCCCTCAAATATTGGAAGATGCTCTCCTGTCTCCCCTGTTCCTTCTCTTCACTAGACCAGCCAGGCCCAGTTCCTGCAACCGTTCTTCATATGTTTTAGTCTCCAGTCCCCTCATCCTCCTGGTTGCTCTTCTCTGCACTCTTTCTAGAGTCTCAGCATCTTTTTTATAGTGTGGCGACCAAAACTGGGATGCAGGACTCTAGGTGTGTCCTTACTAAGGCTTTATAGAGTGGTAGTAGTACCTCCCTTGATCATGTTGGATACCCATTTGTCTGAAGTGGTGTAGGGCAGAGGTCTTCAAACTTGGCAGCTTTAAGACTTGTGGACTCTGGTGTAGGGTTTCCTGCCTAAGGAGGAGATTGGACTAGAAGACCTCCAAGGTCCCTTCCAACTCTGCTATTCTATTCTATTTGAATTTGATTGTATCCCTCTGTTAATGCAACTTAGGGTTGCGTTGGCTTTTGTTGATCTTAACAACTCAACAACTGCAATGATTCCCTTAACCATATGGCAAGAGAGTTCGTAAAACAGGGCAAAATTCACTTAACAACTGTCTCGCTTAGCAACAGGAATTTTCAGCTCAAGGCTGGTTGTAAATCAGGAACTCGCTGTACCATGATGCTTCGAAAACACGTGGGACCATTTAGCTGGCTTCCCAAATCAACTGAGCTTCTAGCTTTGCAGAACAAGCCAGTTTCAGAACACGGTGCGAATCGAGGTAGTCCTTGACTTAGGAACACAACGGAGCTGAAAAACTTCGCTTGCTAAGCCGGGCGGTTGTTCTAGGGGCTGTGCCTCATTTTACAACCTTTCTTGCCACTGTTGTTAAGCGAATCCTGTGTTTGTAAGCGAATCCGGATTTTCCCATTGGCTTTGCTTGTTGGAAGCCGGCTGGGAAAGTTAACAAATGAGGATCCCGAGTTATATGCCAAGTGCCCGAATTTTGATCACGTGACCTTAGGGAATGCTTCAACGGTCGTAAGGGTGTTCAATGGTCGTAAGTCACTTTTTTCAGTGCTGTTGTAACTTCGAACAGTCACTAAATGAACAGTTGTAAGTCAAGGACCTCCTATGGGCCTTGAGTTACTTAGGACCATTTTCTTAGTGACCGCTGGAAATTACGACAGCATTGAAAAGAGGGTCTTACAACCAGACCTCACACTTATAACCGTCATTCCAGCCCCACGATCACATGATCAAAATTGGGATGCGTGGCGACCAAGAATGTATTTACGATGCGACTTTGGATTTGCTCAATGACCATGTGATTCGGTGAACAACCTCAGCAAGAAAGGTTGCAAACTGGGACCCACTTTACGACCTCACCTCTTAGCGATGGAAGTCGAGGACTAACCTGTGTGCTAAGCCTGTATGAGAGAGAAAGAGAGAGAGAGAGAGAGAAGAGAGACACAGAGAGAAAGAGAGAGAAAGAAAGACAGAGAGAGAGAGGTAAGGAGAGACACAGAAAGAGAGACAGAGAGAGAAAAGAAAGAGAGAAAAAGAGATACAGAGAAAGAGAAAGAGAGAGAGAAAAAGAGACACACAGAGAGAAACAGAGATGGAGAGAGACAAAGAGAAAGAGAGAGACACAGAGAGAGAAAGAAAGAGAAAGAAAAAGAGAGAAACAGAGAGAAAGAAAGAGACAGAGAGAAAAAGAAAGAGACAGAGAAAGGCAGAAAGAGAGAAAGAAAGAGAGGAAAAGAGAGACAGAGAAAGAGAGACAGACAGAGAGAAAGAAATAGGAGAGAGAGAGAAAGAGAGAAAGAGAGAGAAAGAGAGAGAGAGAGAGACACACACACACAGAGAAATAAAGAGACAGAGAGAGAGAAAAAGAGAGACAGAGAGAAACAGAGAGAGAGAGACAGAGAAAGAGAGAGACACAGAGACAAAGAGACACACACAGAGAGAGACAGAGAAAAGAAAGAAAGAGGACACAAGAGAGAGAAAGAGAAAGAAAAAAGAAAGAGAGAGACACAGAAAGAGACAGAAAAGAGAGAAACAGAAAGAGAAAGAAAAAGAGAGACAGAGAAAAGAAAGAGAAAGAGAGAGAAAGAGAGAGAAATAAAGAGACAGAGAGAGAGGAAAGAGACAGAGAGAGACAGAGAGTAAGAGACAGAAAAAAAAGAAAGAGGAGAGAGAGAAAGAGAAAGAGAGCAAGAAAGAGAGAGAAAGAGAGAAAGAGAGAGAGACACATACAGAGAGAAATAGAGACAGAGATGAAAAAGAGAGAAAGACACAGAGAAAGAGACAGAGAGAGAAAAAAGAAAGCGAGAGAGAGAGAAAGAGGCACAGAGAAAGAGAGACACTGAGACAAAGAGACAGAGAGAGAGAGAGACAGAGAAAAGAGAGAGAGGCACAAAGACAGAAAGAGAAAGAGAGAGACAAAAGAAAGAGATAGAGAAAGAGAAAAAGAGACACACAGAGAGACAGAGAGAGAAAAGAAAGAGACACAGAAGGAGAAAGAGTAAAAGAGAGACACAGAGAAAGAGAGACACAGAGACAGAGAAAGAGACAGAAAGAGAGAAAGAAAGAGAAAAAGAGAGACAGAGAGAAAAGAGAGAAAGAGACAGAGAAAGAAAAAGAGGAAGAGAGACACAGAGAGAGAGAAAAAGAGAGAAAGAGAGAGAGAAAAAGAGAGAGAGAGAGAGAGAGAGAGAAAGAGAGAGAGAGAGAGAGAGAGAGAGAGAGAGAGAAATAGCTCAGATCAGCTCACCATTTGTCCTGAGATTAACGAGGAAAAGTCCGTAATCCGTACCCAGGGTGAGCCGTTCCCGGTCTGCAAAAAAAGACACACCATCACAGTTAGTGTAGTCCTCGGGTCTCCAACTCCTAGGCTGCGCTACCGGGCTGTAGGCAGTTCGGAACCGGACCACGCAAGCCACGGGCGAGCACGGGAAGCTCCGTTTGCACGAGTGGCGCGTGCTCGTGTTTGGGTGGGAAGCTCCATTTGCACAAGTGGCGCACACGTGCATCCACCACTCATGTAAATGGAGCTGTGCATGCAAGTGCCCGCTCCCAATGCTTGCACCCAACCATTCCCTCCCCCACCCCGCCAGTCCATCAAGCCGGAAAGGCTGGAGACCCCGCGTGCGCTCCACCACAAATCAAGGCCATTCTCCCTGCTCCAGAGACAATGGACTGGTGGAGCAGACGAGATCCACCCACTCCGACCCCCAGAACCGTAATTTCAGGCAGCACCTATGATTGCGGCCGAGAGGGTGTGCGGGATGAAGGGCAGCCCGTTGTCGTAGGCCTCCTTCAGCACGTAGACTGCCCGGTCGGAGTGCCGGTTCTGTCGCAGCAGCTGCTGCAGCTCGCTCAGCACCTGTGTCCACCTCCGCATCTCCGCCTCGCTGTCGGCCAGGAAGAGCATGGAGCTGGTGGTGGGAGGGCAGGAGAGTTGAGTGGACGTCACCTGCGGAAGGAATGGGGTGAGCAAGCAGGACGCCAGCCGGTGCCCGAGAGAAGGAGCCAGACTGCATGCAGGAACTCGGACAAATCTGGACGCACATTAAAAACAGCTGGGCCCACTCCTGGACTTCGCGTTGAGGTGAAAAACCAGTGGTGAAATCCTAATTTTTTTACTACTGGTTCTGTGGGTGTGGCTTGGTGGGTGTGGTGTGGCTTGGTGGGCATGGCAGGGGAGGAATACTGCAAAATCCTCATTCCCACCCCATTCCAGGGGAAGGATACTGCAAAATCCCCATTCCCTCCCCACTCCAGGTTGCTTGGCAACTGACTCGTATTTATGATGGTTGCAGTGTCCTGGGGTCATGTAATCCCCTTTTGCGACCTTCTGGCAAGCAAAATCAATGGGGAAGCCAGGTTCACTCAACAACCCTGTTGCTAACTTCACAACTGCAGTGATTCACTCAACAACAGTGGCAGGAAAGGTCGTAAAACGAGGCAACACTCAACAAATGTTTCGCTTAGCAACAGAAATTTGAGGCTCAATTGTGGTTCTAAGTCGAGGATTACCTGTATATAGTGTCTTGGAAAAGTAAAAAGCTGAGGTAAGGCTTATTCTGTTGTGCTAAAAGAAGTCAGAAGTCTTTTTTCTCTCTTTTCTCTTTTACCATACACATTTTCCTCTTCTCCTTTCCCTCCCCCACTTTCCCATTATTTTCATTTTTCTTGATATTTGCTATTTTGATAAGCTAATAAAAATTTGAATGTCAAAAAACAGTTGGGGCTTTGAACACCTTCTTGTGGCCACCATGTAACTTTTTTTTTGACCGTATTGCCTTCAGACATTTTCAAATCCTGCTTTTTCAGAGGCTCTTTCCCCCAAAACCTGGCATAGACCCCCTTTTTTTGAGCTTTAGTCCTCAAAAACTCCTCATCAGCCCCTTGGTGACGAGAAGGGCCTCAGCAGCTGCCTCTTGTGGAGAAACCTCCGTTTAGGATTCCTGCTATCTTTGAGCTGGGGGAGCCTCATTGGCCGCTCAACAGATCTCGTTCATTGCTCTTAGGTCTTGCACTAACCGCAACTTGAAACATCAGCAAGGCCTGGACACTGGGCTTCTCTCGTCCCTTCTGGTTCTTACCCGAAAGATACAAGGCACGTCTTTATTGCTGGCGTGGATGACATCGGAGGCCAGGACAGGAGCCACGGAAAACTGCTCATCCCTGTCGCCGGGATAAAAAATGGGTGAGAAAAAAAATTCTACCTAGTTCCTTCTGAGGAGTGACTAACAGAATAATAGAGTTGGAAGGGACCCGGAGATCTTCTAGTCCAACCCCTTGCTCAAGCAGGAGACCTTGTACCATTTTAGACAAATGGCTGTCCAGTCTCTTCTTGAAAACCTCCAGTGATGGAGCACCTACAACTTATTAAGATAAATCATTTCACTGATTAATTGTTCCCACTGTTAGAAAATCCCCCCCTTAGTTCTAAATTGCTCCTCTCCTTGATTGGTTTCCATCCATTGTTTCTTGTCTTGCCTTCAGGCTGTCAGACTTCGATGCTATCTCAAAATAAAATGAATTTCCAAACTGCCAATCTTTAAGGAAATCTTTTCTTTAATTGAGCACAGCCACCGGATCATGACTCGATGCAGACGAGACTGACGTTTTGCCCCCCAATCCCTCCCTTTCTGACCCCCAAATCTCTGTTTCTCATTGGCTATCTTCCAAGTCATTCTTCAGACTTCTTTTCCTTCGTCATTTCCCAGGAATGTCTCCCCCCTTCATTTCCACAACAACTCGACATCAAAGGGATTTAGCAGGCAGAAGTTCAGAGCTTATCTCTCTCTCTCTCTCTCTGCTCTCTATGCCAGCGTCAAAACACTGACACAGGCGCTTTGGAGAATAAGTTGACCTCCTCCTTTTTGTGGCAGCCCCTCAAGTACTGGAAGACTGCTATCATGTCACCCCTAGTCCTTCTTTCCATTAGACTAGCCATAACCAATTTCTGCAACTGTTCTTCGTATGTTTTAATTTCCAGGCCCCCAATAATCTCTGTTGTTCTTCTCTGCACTCTTTCTAGAGTCCCAACATCTTTTTAGCATCAGTGAGTAGAGAAAACGGTTGTAACATCAGAGGTTGGGAACTTCCATCCAGTGATGGGATTCAAATTTTTTTTACTACCAGTCTGTGGGCCTGGCTTGGCTTGGTGGGCATGGCTTGGTGGGCATGGTAGGGGAAGGTTACTGCAAAATCCCCATTTCCTCCCAATCAGCTGGGACTCAGGAGGCAGAGAATAAATGGGGGCGGGGCCAGTCAGAGGTGGTATTTACCGGTTCTCCGAACTACTCAAAATTTCCGCTACCGGTTCTCCGGAACTGGTCAGAACCTGCTGAAACCCACCTCTCCTTCCATCCCAGGAACCTATATCTGGCCCATCAATTTGACCCAAGCTTTATATTCCTCTGAGCCCCCTACGAATCATCGCTGGGTTGATACCTAACCAGGCAGCCAAAAATCTAACCCAGAGCTTCTCAACCTTGGCAATTTGAAGTTGGGTGGACTTCAACTCCCAGAATTCCCCAGCCAACCTGTTTTAAGATGGTTGGACTTCAACTCCCAGAATTCCCCAGCCAGCATTCTTTAAAATAGATGGACTTCAACTCCCAGGATTCCCCATCATGGATATACTCACCGCATATCTGTGACATGCATGACACCTTGAGAGATCTTCCCTTCTGAGGCATCGAAGAGGAAAATCTTGAAGTCGCTGATGACCACGAAGGCCTTCTGCCAACCTTTCCTTACCCCAGAGGGCTTGGGCACCTTTGGATAAAAAGAGAAACAGGCAAATTTGTCTTGCCCAGAGTAGCAGGTGCAAGTCCAGGAAATATTTGCATTCCTGCAGGGTAGAAGATCCACTTAGATAGAACATGGAACATAGCTATTCCAATGGTTAATTGTTCTCACCAGGGGTGAAATGCTCCTGGTTCGGACCGGATTGCCCGATCCGGTAGCGATGGCGGTGGGTGGGTCGGAGAACCGGTAGCAAAAATCCCTGCGTCCCCCCACCATGCCCAGCTGAGCTGCACGATCGTCAGAGGCTTTTTTTTTTTTTTTTACTTTTAAAAGCATTTCTTCTACAAACTCTTCCGACAAAAAAAATGCTTTTAAAAGTAAAAAAAAAAAAAAAGCCTCTGATGATCGCGTAGCTCAGCTGGGATCCTCAGAGGCTTTTCAAAGCATTTTTTTCTGCAACCTCTTGGCCGAAGAGGTTGTAGGAAAAAAAAATGCCTTTAAAAGCCTCTGGCGATCCCAGCTGAGTTGCCTGATCGGCAGAGAGGCTTTTCAAAGCATTAGAAAAAATGCTTTGAAAAGTTTTTTTTTTAAAAAAGTTGGCCATGCCCACCCAGTCACATTACCACCACTCCCCACCAAGCCACGCCTACCGAACCGGTAGTAACCAATTTTACATTTCACCCCTGGTTCTCACTGTCAGGAAATTTCTGCTTAGTTCCATGTTGAATCTCTCTGATCACCTTCCACTTCTTACTTCTTGTCCTATTACTTCATGTTCAGTCTGGAAAAGATTTACTCCTGTCCAGCCTTGGATCTCTTAGTGGTGTCCCATCCAGGCCAACCCTTAGCTTTATTTCAAAGTCAACCGAACTTTGGATTAAAATCCTGAAGTTGGAAAAGTGCCATTCCCAAGATCTGCCCTAGGCAAGGTTGGAAACCCAGTCTCTTACCGACAAATACCCCTCAAAGGCGGTGCCGGTTCCGTTTACCGGATTCACCCCCAGGGTTTTTCTGAAGCTGATCCGGAGGCATGGGGCAGATGGAGGCTCCAGCAGCACAGGAAACGTGGCAGACAAAGTTGCAGGCTGAAGAAGAAGGGCGAAAAGCGAGAAAAATTATTTTCTTGGTCTGTTTAAATATCTTAGCCCTTGCAAGAAGAGAACTTTGATAGTACAGTGGTTTAGTGCACCCTGTCATTAACACAGCTGCCTGCAATTTCTGCTGGTTCGAATCTCTCCAAGGCTCAAGGTTGACTCAGCCTTCCATCCTTTCTAAGGTAGGTGAAATGAGGACCCAGTTTGTGGGGGCAATAAGCTGACTTTGTATAAATATACAAAAGAATGAAGGCTATTGCTTAATGCATTGTAAGCCGCCCTGAGTCTCCGGAGAAGGGCGGCATATAAATCAAATTAAAAAAAAAAAAAACTGTGTTGTCCTAGAGGGGCCAAAAATCAGGGGGAGGCTGGGCAGCCTCTCTTCCAATCTGTGTTTTCTCAACCTCACCAACTTTAAGATGTGTGGACTTCAACTCCCAGAATTCCCCAGCCAGCCAATGTGTTGGTTGAAATGGTCCTTTAAGATGTTTAGAACAGAATAACAGTTGGAAGGGACCCTGGAGGTAGTACAGTGATCTAAAGCACCCTGTTATTAAGCCCAGCTGCCTGCAATTACTGCAGGTTCGAATCTCGCCAGGCTCAAGGTTGACTCAGCCTTCCATCCTTTCTAAGGTAGGTAAATTGAGGACCCAGTTGTGGGGGCAATAAGATGACTTTGGAGAATATACAAAAGGATGAAGGCTGTTGCTTAACGCATTGTAAGCCGCCCTGAGTCTCCGGAGAAGGGCAGCATATAAATCAAATTAAAAAAAAAAAATCTAGTCCAACCCCCTGCTTAGGCAGGAAACCCTACACCACTTCAGACCAATGGCTATCCAATCTCTTCTTAAAAACTTCCAGTGTTGGAGCATTCACAACTTCTGGAGGGAAGTGGTTCCACTGATTAATTGTACTAACTGTTAATCAGTGTGGATTTCAACTCCCAGAATTCCCCAGACAATCATCATTTTGGCTGAGATCGCCCAAAACCTTTTGATGTACATCATAGCTAAGTTGTAGGTGAAAAACTACCATTGGTGCAGGCTGCTGGGAAATCATTTCCCTGACTTTTAATTGAGCTAGGGTCTGTTCTCTGGCAATCGAGTTAAGTTTCTAGTCCTCATGCACCGAAATGAAAATGTGTTAAACAGGATTGCCGTTATAAAGTGTTGGTCTGTGTGTTTTGGAAACTCCAGACGGGAGTCTTTCCCAACCTGCCCCTCCCTTTCCTTGCCCGCCCCCCCCTGCCCTCCTCCCCATGTTTTGTGCCCCAAAAGATGCCACTCACCCTCACAAGCCAGGCCTTGCCGAACCAGTCCAACCATCAGCGAGGTACAGCGCATGCACTTGGTGGGGGCCGAGAAGCTGTGGGTTTTGAAGCTGTGGGTTTTGGGCTAGGAAAACACAACGGGGAGAAAGTTTGCAGAGCGCTTCCAGGCCTGTCTTTTCTTTGCAGAAAAAAAACCAGCAAACTTTTAAGTTTTAAACTTTCACAATTAAGCCCTAAGTCTTCACCTTGAGGGGTGCAGAATAGCCACTCTCGGCAAGGGGGGCTCCAGCCTGCATGAGAAAAACAGAAAAACAACAACTAGAATTGTATCTGCACAGCAATGGAAAAATTATGAGATTCTGTCTGTAAAGGTAAAGGTTCCCCTTGCACATGTGTGCTAGATGTTCCTGACTCTAGGGGGCGGTGCTCCTCTCCGTTTCAAAGCCAACGAGCCAGTGCTGTCCGAGGACGTCTCTGTGGTCATGTGGCCGGCCTGACTCAACTCCAAAGACGCATGGAACACTGTTACCTTCCCAACAAAGGTGGTCCCTATTTTTTCTACTTGCATATTTTACGTGCTTTTGAACTGTTAGGTTGGCAGAAGCTGGGACAAGTAACGGGAGCTCACCCCGTTACGCGGCGCTAGGGATTCGAACCGCTGAACTGCCGACCTTTCGATCAACAAGCTCAGCGCCTTAGCCACTGAGCCACCGTGTCCCATGGATTCCGTCTGAAGGGAATGTAATTAAGAAAATATTAGAATGTGCAGAAATGGATAGATTAACGCTCACTATTAAGGATAAAGAAGAAATTGCGTATTTTTTTGATATGGGATGTATTCAGTGGTTGGATTTAGCCAGTTCGCACCTATTTGGGAAGAACCAGTTGTTAACTTTCTAAGCAATTCAGAAAACTGTTGTTGGAAGAAATCTTATTTTGTTTTTTTTCCACTTTACAGGGCTAATCCTGTAAGGAATTACAACATTCTGGTGTTGTTTCTAGCCAATCTTTATTGCCCTGTTTACAGAAACTGCCTCTCTGGTTAACCCTTATTACATTGTAACAGCTAAGGCGAAGCACCCATTGAAGCGCACGTCGTCAGTGACGTTGAGTTGGCCGCGTCCACACAATCACATGACCACCAAGCCTCGCTTACTCAGCTGGTCATTAGGGCAGAGAACCGGTTGTTAACCAGCTGGCAAAGAGCAAAAGAAAAGGGGCTTTTGAATTGGCAGAGAAAATAAAAGGAATACAGCATAACAGATGGAGGGAGCCTTCTAGTCCAGCCCCCCGTTCAGACAGGAAACCCTATACCATTTCAGGCAAATGGCTATCCAGTCCTTTTGTGAAAATTTCCAGTGATGGAGCACAACTTCTGGAGCCACAACTTCTGGAGGGAAGGCGAGAAAGATGGGAGAGAGGGAGAACAAGAATGGAGGAAAAAGGAAGGAAGGAAGGAAGGAAGGAAGGAAGGAAGGAAGGGTGGGTGGGTAGATGGGTAGATGGAAGGAAGGAAGGAGAACAAGAATGGAGGAAGGAAGAGAGGCAGAGAAGAATGAAGGAAAAAGGAACGAAGGATGGGTGGGTGGATGGATGGAAGGAAGGAAGGAAGGAAGGAAGGAGAAGAAAGAGAACAAGAATAGAGGAAGGAAGAGAGGCAGAGAAGAATGAAAGAAAAAGGAACGAAGGATGGGTGGGTGGATGGATGGAAGGAAGGAAGGAAGGAAGGAGAAGGAAGGAGAACAAGAATGGAAGAAGGAAGAGAGGCAGAGAAGAATGAAGGAAAAAGGAACGAAGGATGGGTGGGTAGATGGATGGAAGGAAGGAAGGAAGGAAGGAGGAAGGAAGGAGAAGAAAGGAGAACAAGAATAGAGGAAGAAAGAGAGGCAGAGAAGAATGAAAGAAAAAGGAACGAAGGATGGGTGGGTGGATGGATGGAAGGAAGAAAGGAAGGAGAAGGAAGGAGAACAAGAATGGAGGAAGGAAGAGAGGCAGAGAAGAATGAAGGAAAAAGGAACGAAGGATGGGTGGGTGGATGGATGGAAGGAAGAAAGGAAGGAGAAGGAAGGAGAACAAGAATGGAGGAAGGAATGGAGAAGAATGAAGGAAAAAGTTAAGTTGGAAAGGAAAGAAGAAAGGAAGGGAAGGAAAGGAAGGAAAGGGAAAGGAAAAGAAAAGAAAGAAGGAAAGGAAAGGAAAGGAAAGGAAAGGAAAAAAAGGAAAAAGGAAAGGAAAGAAAGGAAAGGAAAGGAAAAAGGAAAGGAAAGGAAGGTCCTCATTACAGGTAGTCCTTGACTTACAATCATTTTATTTAATGACCACTCAAAGTTGGTCACTGCTACATAAGGCAGTGAAAAAACAGAATCACAACCATTGTTCACACTTATGGCCATTGCAGCACCCCCACGGTCGGTGATGTCATCAGAACTGCAGCTTCCCAGGGTCATATGATCACCTTTGGCGACTTTGATGCTGGATTTGCTTAACGACCATGGGAAAAAGTTGTTAAAGATTGAGTGTGACTCAACAACGGCATCGCTTAGCGGTAGATGTTTCAGCCTCTATTTATGGATTTGTTTTATTTATTCATTCATTAGATTTATTTGATGCTCAATTCGCCACCAGGTGACCGTGGGCAGTTTATCATGTTAGATTTTGGTCATAAGTTGAGGACTAGCTGTATGGGGAAAGATCTCTCCATTCCAGCCGGGACTTACATTGGACCGGAGGCTTCTCCTGCCTTCAGGGTGCAGCTGAACCTCCTCGGACGATCTCCGCGCCTCCTGAGAGTCGGGGCTGTTCCCAAAAGCGATGGCGTCCTTCTGAAAAACAAGGGGACAGATAGGCCTCGTTGCTCGTCCAGCGTCCCGGATTTGGGTCGTACAGATTAACAGAATTGGAAGGGACCTTGGAGGTCATCTAGTCCACCCCCCCCCCCATGCAGGAGACCCTACACCATTTCTGAGAGATGGCAGTCCAGTCTCTTCTTAAAAACTTCCAGTGTTGAAGCATTTACAACTTCTGGTGGCAAGCTGTTCCACAGGTTAATTGCTCTCACTGTCAGAAAATTTCTCTTTCTCTTTCCTCCTCTCTGGGCAGCCCCTCAAATACTGGAAGATGCTCTCCTGTCTCCCCTGGTCCTTCTCTTCACTAGGCCCAATTCCTGCAACCGTTCATCATATGTTTGAGCCTCCAGTCCCCTCATCATCCTGGTTGCTCTTCTCTGCACTTTTTCTAGAGTCTCCACATCTTTTTTATCGTGTGGTGACCAAAAGTGTGTGGATCACTAACGGCTCCCCTGTGGGACTCCTTGCATGCCCCAAACCTTTAGTAGGTTTTCTTCTTTCTTCCTCTGCTTTTTTGAGGCCTCAGTATAATTATTTTGCATCCTCTTAAATTTTTATAAAAAGGGGTTTCCCTTCTTCATTCTGTGCAAGCGTGTCCCAAATCTGGTTACATTTATTTATTTATTTGTTCATTCGCATTTTATTATTTATGTGGTGCAGTGGCCTAGAGGGGGAGCTCTCGCCTCCCAATCAGGAGGCTGTGAGTTCGATCCTAGGTAGAGGCAGGTATTTCTCTCTCTGGGCATGATGAGATGAGAATATTATCTGCTGAACAAAACTCCACATTGGCGACAGGAAAGCATCATCCGGCAGTAAACACTCAGCTCCATTCAGTTGCCCAGACTCCACCCCGCAAGGGAGTACGGTGTCATGATGATTTGCATTTTGTTATTTGTGACAATCACCAACATTTAAGTTTTAAGACACCCACTCAAATTTCCGTAGACGAAGCTAATCAACAAGAAATCTATTACACTGATATATCTAAAACACGGAGACCAAATCAAATAATCCTAGCTGCAGTTTAATGCTTTCTGCAATTAGAGTCTCTTAGCAGATCAGCATTTATATGCAGATTAGCGCAAACATTTTCTTGCATTTCCTTTTTAAAATGCAAGGCGTGAAATGCTCCCGGTTCGGACCGGATCGCCCGATCTGCTAGCGATGGTGGCGGGTGGTTCGGTAGCAAAAAATCCCTGCCCCCCCCATGCCCAGCTGAGCCGCGCAATCATCAGAGACTTTTTTTTTTATTTTTAAAAGCATTTTTTCTACAACCTCTTCAGCTGATGTTTTAAAAAATGTTTTTAAAAGCAAAAAAAAAAAAGCCTCTGACGATCAGGCAACTCAGCTGGGATCGTCAGATGCTTTTAAAAGCATTTTGTTACAACCTCTTCGGCCGAAGAGGTTGTAGAAAAAAGTGGTTTTAAAAGTAAAAAGTAAAAAAAAATGGTCACGCCCACTCGACTGAGTGGGCGTGGCCAACTTAAAACCCCCCCAAAGCCACGCCCACAGAACTGGTAGTAACAAATTTTACATTTCACCCTTGCTTTAAGGTACTCGCTATTAGGATATAACCTGAAGAGCATTTTTGTAATTCTCCTGCTTGAGCAGGGGGTTGGACTAGAAGGCCTCCAAGGTCCCTTCCTCCTCTATTCTGACCGACTGATTAATTAGGAGACCACGGGGACTTATTTCCACTGTAGTTTTCATTTGACTTTGAGAGAATTTATTCTACAGATAATCCTCGATTTACAACACTTCGTTTAGTGGCTGCTCGATGTTACAGCAGCACTGAAAAAAAGCGACTGTTTTTCACACTTACGACCGTCGCAGCATTCCCCAGGATTCAAATTCAGATGCTTGGCAACTGATTCACATTAATGACGGTCGCAGTGTCTCCCGGGTGTGTGTGTGTGTGTGTGTGTGTGTCACATGATCCCCTTTTGAGACCTGACAAGCCAAATCAATGAGGGAAGCCGGATTCACTTAACAACCGAGTTACTAATTTAACAGCTGCCATGATTCACTTAACAACGGTAGCAAGAAAGGTAATAAGATTGCAAAATTCACTTAACAACTGACTGGCTTAGCGGCATAAATTGTGGCCGTAAGTCAAGGAATACCTGTACCTGACCAAGGTGAAAACTTACGCTGGTGCTTCGGAAGAAGAAAGAAATCAGTGGGGTTTGGGACTTGATACCTGTTAAGAAAAGGAGAGAAAAACAGAGAGGCTTTGTGGGTTGAGATGCCAAAGGAACCTGGATCTGTCTTGAACTATTCCATCTTTAATTAATCGCTTCCTGTTCCATGCCTGATGATGGAATTAACAGAAACTTTTCCTGGATTAGCAGTAGTCAGAATTTCAGAATTCAACTGCAAGACATTTTGGAAGGGAATTGCAGGAGTCAAAATCAAATTTTGCAAAACTTTAAGATACGGGACTTTTGCCCTAGCAAAAGTAACATTGCCCTAGCTCAGCTGCAGCACGCATGTGTTTTCGGGCCTTCCGGCCCACTGGAAGTCAGCAAACAGACTGTTTCCGGCCTCCAGAGGGCCTCCGGGGAGGGTGGAAGGCCATTTAGACCCTCCCCAGGCTCCAAGAAAGCTTCTGGAGCCTGGGGAGGGGGAAAAACAGGCCCACCGTGCCATCGCATGCCAAAAAACGGGGGAGCACAGGGGGGGTCATGCGCGAGGGGGGTGGGGCACATTGAATTATGGGTGTGGGCGGGCATACAGGCACACAACTCCCCCCACACTCCCCCCGCTTTTGGCACGCGACGGCAAAAAGGTTAGCCATCACTGGTATAGGTTCTCCTCCTGCTTGAGCAGGGGGCTGGACTAGAAGACCTCCAAGGTCTCTATTCTGTTCTGTTCTGTTCTGTTCTGTTTTCTATTCTATTGTAAAGTTCCCAAGGTTGAGAAACATCAAGTTAAAGCCTCAACAATCTGAACTGTGAACACTTGGAGTAAACTGAAAGTTGACCTAACATTAAGTCATTTCCTATTCTATTAGAGTTGCTTCTATATTAAGGTGTGATTAGAGTTAGACGGAAATAAAACAGCAACTCCTTGTGGACAGGAAGGTTTTAATTAAAAGACAATTTCAAAAGGGCAGCTTCTGTGTGTGGATAGAAAAAGTCATTTCTATTTTCCTTTTCAAACTCATTTTAAGAAGACAGAAAACATGTCTCGGTTTGCTAAGTGGCTCAAACCTTCAGGAAGTAAATCCCACCGAACTCAACGAATCCCTTTCCAACTGCATTATCTTTGGCAGAGAAATTTGTCAAAATAAAGTAGATAAACATTTAAGGGCAGGAGTACCACTAAATTCCCATTTTATTTTTGCTCGCTGCTATGACCAACCATCGTTTTCATTTCATTTCATTTTAATTTAACAAAAATGGCATGCCTTGGCTGATAAAAGTAAATGCTTTTATTTTTATTATGATTTATGGATTGATTTCTATCCCACTT